AAACCCAGCCAACATTGTCAACCGTGTTAATCCGTCAACTGTGTTACATTTCTTCAATTTTAGGACCTTATGCTTACTGTAGACCTTGAACATGTCTCCACATTACCTTGATCAACTCGTGTTTTTATACATTTTCTCTACATTTTTTGTAAATATAATATCTAAAGTACACAAGACTATGTTGATAACACAAAATCACGTAATTGTACTAGACATGTGGGAAATTAGTGTGGGGAAAAAATAAATACTCTAAACCCTAAGTAGAGTTACACAACTTTACAACTGAGAAAGTCAAAAAGCGTTACGTTGTTGTGACGCTGTGCGGAGAAATAGAGCTGAGGCTGGATCCAAACGCAGTGTAGCTTTATTAACAAACTTGGAACAGGAAACAAGACAAGAAGCAAGACTCGAGAATTCAAAAACACCAACGTTCACATACATAAATTCAACCAACAAAGACAGGGCAGAAACACAGGGCTTAAATAATCAAGGACAAACGAGCTATACAAGATAACAAGGGGGCGTGAGAAATAAGAAACACCTGCGACAAATAATCGACGGGGAATCACTAATAACGAAAACACACAAAACCACATCATGACATAGCCTCCCCCTATGGGCGGCTCCCGACGCCCATAAAAACAACAAAAAGTTCAGGAGGGCGGTAAAGCGGAGACAGTCTTGGGGGAGGGACGGAGGGCCGGGCCCGTGCAGGGGAACGGGACCAGGAGGTAGCCAAGGCGGACCTGGGCCGCAGAGCGTGGGCATAACAGACTGGGCTGGAGACCAGGGCGGAGCAGGACGAGGCCAGGGCCAGGGCGGAGCAGGACGACGGAGCAGGATGTCAACGTCGCCTCCATGGCCCCCACAGAGTACCTACTGCCCCCCCCCAAAAAATACTTGGGGAAATCTACGGGGGGAACCTCCGGACAGTAGACAGGCTCAGGAAACGCCTCCAGGAGCTTGAAAGCCGGCAGGGCGAGGCGCAGAGGCGGGGCCGGCAGGGCGACAAGTCTGGGCACGCTCACCGCGGCCTGGCGAACCGAACAAGTCCTCATTCTCCTCCTCCTGCGGCGGTGCGTCACAGAGCTAGACACATTCGCTGGGCTGGACAACTCGCTCACTTGAACTGGAGATTCAGCGCTCACTTGAACTGGAGATTCAGCGCTCACTTGAACTGGAGATTCAGCGCTCACTTGAACTGGAGATTTAGCACTCACTTGAACAGGAGACTCAGCACTCACTTGAACAGGAGACTCAGCACTCACTTGAACAGGAGACTCAGCACTCACTTGAACAGGAGACTCACTCACTTGAACTGGAGATTCACTCACTTGAACAGGATCACTTACTTGAACTGAAGATTCACTCACTTGAACAGGAGATTCCCTCGCGGGGCTCACGTGAATCGCGGGCTCGGCTGGGCTGACGTGAACCAGCGGTGAAGACGACGAGGGCTTCGCAGGTAATGTGAACACGGGAGATGTCGAGTAGAACGAGCCAGTAATGGAGAAGAGATCCTCCAAAGAACAAGCCCGACCTATATACCGGTCAAGAGTCCAGTTGGGAAGGTCCCGCGGCATCCATCGAGCGATCCGAGAAACAGGCCCATGAGCTGGATATCATCTAGCGCTCCCAGATGGCAAATGGACAGAAAATCCTTCGCGTACCTCTGGACGGACTGGCCCTCTTGCAATAACGTCGACAGGTACTCTCCCAGAGCCCGGTTGCTGACAACTGCTGGACCCATTTTGAGGTTGGTTGTTCTGTGACGCTGTGCGGAGAAATAGAGCTGAGGCTGGATCCAAACGCAGTGTAGCTTTATTAACAAACTTGGAACAGGAAACAAGACAAGAAGCTAGACTCGAGAATTCAAAAACACCAACGTTCACATACATAAATTCAACAACCAACAAAGACAGGGCAGAAACACATGGCTTAAATAATCAAGGACAAACGAGCTAGACACGATAACAAGGGGGCGTGAGAAATAAGAAACACCTGGGACAAATAATCGACGGGGAATCACTAATAACGAAAACACACAAAACCACATCATGACAGTTGTCCCCCACTCTCCCCTACTTCTCAAGGTTGAATAATTCATCCACAATTCATACAGTACAACACAACTGAGGTGAAAGAAGGCTTGTGCTGTATGAACTCGAAAAGTGTTGTACTGTATGAACTGGAAAAGTCATTGAAAAATGTAATCAAGTTTTTTAAAAAATGGTTCAAAAGCTTATGTCATTTCATATTATGTATTTAAGGGTCAACTTCCGGTTTGATGCCTGCTGCCACCTACATGATGTCACACAAATGAGGGTATCCAATTTTGATTATGAGGTCACAGCAAGGTTTCAGTAAAAAAAGTTTTTATTTTTTACTCATTAGGTGAGAAAAACTCTTTATTATATTGTCCCATTTTCCCTTATGTTCCAATCACTCTTAATTCCTTCAGATTTTTATCATATTACTGTTGACATCAATCTGACTACAGTAAATAACGGGATGATTAAAGAAAGATTTGGCCTATTCATGCAGCCGATTTCAATGGCTACCCAGGTCATTTTGAACAATTTTTTTTCAGGTTCAAGAAGATCGTTTGTTTTTTTTTTTGTTTTTTTTGTGGTGTTCATCACCATGGTTATTTAATGCTAACCTGCCCTCAGCAAATCACTCCTCCTGTATCAGCCCCTGACCGTAAATTTAGGTAGGTGTGATGAAATAGCTCGGAAACAATAGCAAGTAAAAGCTGTTTATTTATGCTGGTCAGATGACATAACACAGGTCGGGGAACAAACACTCAGATAAAGATGAGACACAGGCACGTTGATGGGCAACCCGGAGAGATGTGGTGATGATCGGCATGCTAAGTGTCAGGAACCAGGAACCAGGAACAATAAACAATCCAGAATGTGAACGGCGAAGACGACGAGGATCACAAAGACTGGAAAGCCACACGAGTAGAAGACTAAAGCCACACAGGAACGGAACACGACACCGGGGAAGCCACAACTATCTGACAACATGAGATGGAAATTACTGACAATATAGAGCGGTGATGAACCGCAGCTAGTGCTGACCACAGACTAGAAGCTCTATTGGCTTTATGCACAGCTGCACTACTTCCTGAACTTAAGCCAGCTCCTTGTTTCCTTTCTGCCATTATTGGACAAATTGATTAATTCAGGTGTGCCGGACCTCAGTCTCAGTCACGGCAACAATAATCAGACACACCTGAATTAATCAAGTTTGGCCAATAATGGCATACAGGAAACAAGGAGCTGGCTTAAGTTCAAGAAGTAGTGCAGCTGTGCATAAAGTCAATTGGCCGCTGGAAACCAAGAAATCCGGCCGCCATCTTGAACCGGTCGTATTCCTAGTTTTGTTGCATGGCAGCAGATAAGATGTCAGAGCATTGTGGAGCATTTTCCTGTTCTAATCGCCGGACCATCGAAAACGAATCGGTTACCTAACGTAACCTCGGGTCTCTCTAGATGAGGGAACGAGTATTGCGTAAGCTAGCTTACGCTACAGGAAAGATTCATCTTTGCTGAGAAGTTGAAGCCAAAAAATTATTCCATAATTTTGTAATCATTGTCAACGCAGTATCTCTGAGGCAGACCATGAGCGGGGCTAGCTAGCAGCTCATTGGTTCGCTCAGAGAGAATGCACGAACCTATGGGAGAGCGGCGCTGAGCCCGCGGCCAATGAGCGGACGGCACTCGCTCATTGCGTCAGAGCCCGCTGAAAGGGGCGTGGCTACAGTGTATAAAACTGGCTCTCCCAGGCTCGGTAGTTGATTTCTTTCAGCATGAAGCGAAACGCTGATGGCGCAAGCACGGCCGGGAACGCAATACTCGTTCCCTCATCTAGAGAGAACCGAGGTTACGCTAGGTAACCGATTCGTTCTCTTACGAGAGGTTCTCTCGTATTGCGTAAGCTAGCTTACGCTACGGGAACATCTGGTCAACGCCGTGCGCGCTATGTAACCACTAAGCATCCCAGGGGGAAAAACGCCGGGGGAATCATAAGGTGGAAGAAGACAATAAGGCGGCCAGCATAGCGGCCGTTATCATCTAATGCAAAACGCCCTAAAGGCGGCCGGCATAGCGGGCCGTGAACGTATAGCGCATAAGCACATAGGGGGAAGCACAAGGGGCGAACCGGCTGTGATAGGACTCCCAATAGTGCAGCTTCTTATAGGAGAGCTGTATAGTACTAGACCGCCAGTAATTTAGCCTGTAAGGCGGGAACTTCCAAGTTATAGAATCTGATAAAGGTGGAAGGGGAGGCCCATCCCGCAGCCACGCAAATGTCGTGAATGGAAATTCCGCAGGACCATGCCCACGATGAGGCCATGCCTCTGGTGGAATGAGCCCTGACGCCCAGCGGGCAAGGCAGGTCTTTTAAGGCGTAAGCAGAAGCAATAGCATCCACTATCCACCTAGACAGTGTCTGTTTAGAGGCA